ATATATATATATATATATATATATATATATATATATATATACATATAATTTATTTTTCACCTAGCTACACAATATATTTTCCCCGCAAAAGGTTCCTATAAGGTAGCTCCGCCACTGGTCGAACTCCAATACGGGTATTCCTATAAGGTAGCTCCGCCACTGGTCGAACTCCAATGCGGGTACCGGATACGGGGTTAAAAATCATTCATGAGTAGGTAAATAAATGTGTGAATCCTTAAACATGTAATGACAATATTATTACAGAACAAACTAATTGAAACATCCATCCAACAATGCCCAATGTTCTGAAATACATACAGCAAGAGAAAACACTGTTATACTGCTACATCAACACTTGTTTCTCTCTATTCAATATTAATTTCTAAGCTAAGGATCCTGATACATAAAATCTACATAGACTACTTCTGCTTTAGGTGATGCACGCAAAAAATTTGATACCTCAGCGAGTATTTTTAATCTTGTGTCAAGAGGTTCATCATCTAGAAACCGTCGATCGATTAGCATTCTCACCAACACTGGAGAATTGGCCAACAAAAGCTTTATAAGCTGCATCTCAGACGTTCTTCCTGTAAAGAGTTCTATCTTAACTTCCCTTAGGTGATTAAATGTCACGTCTGACAAATGTTTGAGTTCAAGGGATTCCTCAGTACCACTATCATCTTCACTGTAAACCTAAAAAAGATAACAAGAAGTCAACTCTCAGATTATTGAGGATCTAAGAAATACGAAAAATAGCCACTAAATAAGAAAGAAAGAACCAGTATTTCGAGATATTCTAAACATGGGAAGCTTCTTATCAAGAAAAGAGCAAATGAGAGCTTATGTGAATCCGCCAGCATAATATGAGGCAGGTAAAATCGTTTGACGCTGTTAAGAGCAAAGGGAAGCCTTGTTGGCGCTTCAGCGTAATCATCAAAGAACTAGGAAAAAAATAACCAAAATTCAAGACCAGTCAGCCCAAAAGAAGTTCCATCTGCTAAAGTGCATAACAATGAAGTCATGAAGTAAAATCTACCATGGTATTAAAGAAGTCCAAGTAGAGGTGCTCGAGAGCAGAACATGACTCGAAAACCTTGGCAAAATCAAGATTCTCTGCCCTCATATCGTCACCTACCAGAGATACTTTTACCAGAAGAGGGACATTCTTTAAGCAGATAGAACTTATATCGCCTCTGAAATCAAACGATCTCAGCATTGGGGCATTAATTTCAATAATGCTTAAAATGTCTGAGATATTCAGAACCAACTGCCCAAGCACTGGACAATGAGATATTAAAGTCTCCAGCAATACAGAAGAAATTTTGACATTACATAGCTCCAGGCTGGTTAACATATCAAATCCTTGAAAAGCTGATGGGGGAAGCATTAAGCAGTTACGAAGAGTTAGATGCCTCAGCTGCGAACAAGTGAAAAGTGAAGAAGGCAATTTGTATAGCATTTTCCACGAAAGGTGAAGAACAAGATGTTGAATGTCTTTCCTAGAGAGGAAAGATACGAAGTTGCCAATCTCAGGACAACTTTCTAGAAAACCAATGTTCAGGGTAAACTTAGTAATGGGTCCTTCATGAAGGGGCAAAAGCTGGTAGATAATCTTTGTAAATTTGACTGTAGGGCTTAGTAAATCTTTTTTTGTTACCCACAGAGATGAATCAAGCGTCAACTTTGTAAGTCTACACCAGTGATACCTCCATTTCTTCGATAAGATGCTAGTCCTCACAGCATCTTTACAAGGCAAACACATCAGAATGACATCGATTACATTATCAGGAAGGTCGCTAAGGACGTCAGGAGGTAAACTTCGACAATACTTTATTCTCTTAGGAGGCATCATATAACAACAATCACCAAGAACCTGCAGAAAATAAGCAATAATACGAAGTAAGGAATCTCCAACTATTTGGACGCTATACACATGGTCAAAGCAAAGGTGCATTCTAGTTGAAATCAGTCAATTATGTCCTCTTATTATCTATATTATTATACCGATATTCTGATTTGCCTTGAGATACCCATATGGTACCAAGACGGCATGTATATGTACCATAAACAAATCCATGTAACATAGCTTAATATCCATTAATTGTATTCCTACAACAGGAACAAGAAGGGGAACCTTGGCGTAACCCGTGGCGGATCTAGAGTGCAGTTGTTGGGTTCTCGGGAACCAAGTAACTTTTGCTTAGACCCTGTATTTCTATTAAAAAATTCAGTAAATATTAATAAATATCTAACTATGAACACAATTATTATTGTATATTAATTTGAAATTAATCCAGGAACCCATATACTATAAATCCTAGATCCGCATCTGGACGTAACTAGTAAAGTTGTTGTCATGTCACCAGGATATCACGGGTTAGAGCCGTAAAAATAGCCTATTGCAGAAATGCAGCATAAGGCTACGTACAATATACTAGTCCGGCCCTCCCGGGACGCCAGGATAGCGGGAGCTTTGTACACCGGGCCGACTTTTTCTTTCTTCTTCCAATTCATAGAATACATTTTGACGGTTCAAAAGGAAAAATCAAATGTATAGAAACCCATAATCACATTATCTGTTTGCTTCAATCTTCTAAGCTTTTATCAACCATAATTACTAACAATAACGAGAAAAAATTAATACACAAACTTGGTCTCAGTTTTTAACTCATAAATAAACATAAGAAGCTGTTTTTGCTAGATCAGAACATCAAATTAGTAGCTTTACTATATAACTTCAGCTAGCATACAACAATTGCAACTACTATTGAAAGTTGTGAGCGTACATACCTGAAAAAACAACATTCTAAAATGAGACAAAAAGGAAAAACAAAAAACAGAAGATAATATCATCAAAAAGGGAAAGTGATGATTCTAAATAGTAATAAAAAAAGGAGAGAGATAACCTTATGAATGGCTTCAGCAGTTGAGTATTATTTGGACAAGTCTTGAATCTCAATCTATGGCTTTAGTCTTTAGAGAGAGATTTATATAGAGATATATATAGAGAGAGGGGGGAATCGGGGAAAACAGCAATAGAGTGAAGTTAAAGGGAATGTTTGGTGACCACTTCTATTCAGTATTATTTTATGCATGAACCATCGTGTTATTCGTTTCAAATGATTGAATCTATTTCTTTAACAATTTAACTTTATACATTAATTTATATTCACACAATATATATATATATATATATATATATATATACTTCATTTTACACTACGAGTTCAAAAGTTTTCTTTCTTTTTTTAAATTTTATGTCCAATTAAATAATTTACATAAAATTAAACGGTGAAAGTATTATTTTATGCTACATTAAATGTAGTATAATAATATCATAATTAGTTATAATTAAATAACTACATTAAATCAAATAAATTCATATTTATTGCGATAAACTTAAAATTATAAGCTTTATTTTTTTAAAATGAAAGAATGATAAGATATAAAATATTATTACTAAGACATTAATGAGGGAGATTAGGGATAATAATAAAGAATTTCCATTTGTTTATATTTAATTCGGTCATATCTTTTTGAGAGAAGCATAAGTCTTTGTTTGTGGGTTCGAGTTAACAAAACAGTAATAGCTCCAGAATTTAAAAAAAATAAAAGCAAAAAGAAAAAATCGAAACTTGAAAAATAAAAACTGTGCCCATAGTAAAAAGCAGATTAGCACCAAAAATGTGCCACGCAATGGACACGTGGCTCACGAATTAAACCCACCGAAGAGCTGAAGCAGCACATAGTAAAAAGCATATTATTGGTAACGTGGCTTATAAATTAAACCTACTCATGTACTACTACGGTCAACCTCCTATATAACAACCTTATTTATTTTTATATTTTTTAACTTTTATTATATATTTATAACAATATTTGATATTTAAATATTTTTTAGCTGTTAATAAATATAAATTATTCAAAAAATAATTAAATTTCTTTTTAAATATTATATATAAATAATAATAAAATTATTCAAAATTTAAAATCTCAAAAATATATGCATATTTCACTAGTTAAATATTGAAGAAAGCTAATACATTATTAATAAATTCATAACTAAACGTATAAAAATTTAAACTCCAAGGCAGAAATTTTAAAGTTACCTAAAAAAATAAATTCTTTCAAGATTGATGGAATAACTTTGTAATTGTAGCTTGTTTCGTCGATTACATTCTCTTACTAGCGATATAGCGCTTGAATTTGTGAAAATTCGTGTCCAATTTTTCAGCAAAAAAGTATCAATATCTTTCTCTTGAAGACAATCTAAGAGTTTAACAGTTAATTTTTTTTATCTAAATATTTTTTGCAATTTGTCTAATGGAATCATGTATAAATCTTCAAATCTTATATCTTATGCAATATAGAAACTTTGTTTAATGAAAAAAGATTGTGGGCATATTTTTAGAATTTGTTGGTAATAACTTTGAATATTATCATTTATAACAAAATCATTACACCTAAAGAGCACTTAAATCCAAAATCACCTTCTAGGAAGGGTGCTATGGAAATTAAGCCTCTAGACAAATACTACTTACGATCTTCTGCAGAAATTCTCTACATGTATGAGCCTTTTTTCGAACTATCTATTGTATCTATTCTCTCTATAACATCCTGCTTAGTTTGTTTTACTACTTCCTCTACATTGACACCTTTGAACATTCTCTAGCTTATAGCACTCCACGTATGGTAGAACATTGATCCAAAGATTGTAGCTATTCTTGATCTGCTTCCCGTTTTTCCTCTTTATACACTCCAAGGTCTTCCTAATGTCTCCCTCTTGTATTTGAATACCAGCCCAACTTGTAATTGCTCGTCTAGGTGTTGTGATCCAGCTACATGCAACAAATAAATAAGTGTTGTCTTCTTCTGTTCCTGCATCACATAAACAACAAGTTCCATCCTCAACTTGGATATGCAGTTTAGAATTATTATTAGTAATTTTAAAGATTCTATATAGTTGTTATATTGAAATAATTTTACAAATAGAAATATAGCTTAAAAAATTGGTTCTAAAGCAAAGTTGACTGAATGATTGTTATATAAAAATGATATTATAAAAAGGTGTACCATATTTCTCTTTCTTCCGAGCAAAAATATAGTATAAAGTAGATTAACACCAAAAAGTTGCCACGCATTGGACATGTGGCTTACAAATTAAACTCACTTGTTAACTGTTATTTTAATTTATATGACACACTTTTTTATTAATATGTTTAAAAAATGACATATTTTTACAATTAAAAATAATTTAATTTTAAACTCTTCATTTTACTCTTAATGAGAATGTTTTATAACCACACAAACTCATGACTCCACAAAAACCTTTATTCCTTAATATTTTAATATCATAAGTTTCAAAAAAAAAATTAACTCCATATCGAATCAAATTAACTCCATATCGAATCAAATTAACTCATCTAAATTGAAACGGAGGAATTACTACCGTCCCAACAAAAATATACTACTCCTTCAACTTAAATTTCAATTGAAATGATGGTAAAATAAAAAATTTAACGTTAAATTATATATATATATATATATATATATATATATATATATATATATATTAGAACATACTAATAAAAAAAATATGTAATATTATAATTAAAATAGAGAAAAGTAAAAACCAGATTAGCACCAAAATTTTGCCACGCATTTGGACACGTGGCTTACAAATCAAAACCATTTCTTCCAAGCAAAAGTCATATTCTACCATCCTTTACCCTCCCCAAGAGCTGAAGCAGCACACAAGTAGGATTCGAAGAGAAAAGGGCAGATCCTATCATCAGCAAAATCTTCTTACTTGGTAAGCTTAAAATCTTCTTCCCATTATTTTGTTTATTTATTTTGTGCTTTTTATTATCAGAAAAATTAAGTCTTTTATTTTCTGTCTCATACTTTGTTTTAGTTGTTGTTTCTCTTGGATGTGTATATGTGTATTTGTTCTTTCTTTTAAGTCAATAAAAGTGACTTTGAAAAAAAATTCATTTTGGAAGCAAATAATTAGAGAGAAGTACTATATGAAAATTAATGCCTAGATTAAACAACAACAACATACCCATTATTACCCCACACTGTGGGGTCTGAGAGGTCTGAGAGTATAGCTTGCACGCATACCTTACGGCTAACTTGTGAGAATAGATTTTCAATAGACCCTCAGCTCAGAAAAACATTAAAATTATCATATTTCTTCCCATCTATTTAGCACCTAAATATAGGTGAAATAGTATAAAATGTGAGTAAGCTAATTCAAACACCATGTTTAGTAACGAGATACAAAGAGTTCTTTTCCCCCTTAAAACGGTGATGCCCCGGCTATGATCCCACAAGTAGGGTTTGGGAGGGCGGGGTATGCAGAACTTATTCCTACCTCACAGAAAGCATGTTGTTGATAGACTATCGCTCGGCTCAAGAAAAACATAAAGAACTTTATCCATTACAGTAATATTTAAGCGGATAGAACGAAATCACCTAAATCTTGATTTGAACCCTATCTCCTATGGTTTTAGGTCTGCCTTCATTAACCGATAGGCCACACCTTGCCTAAGGAACGCATAAGGCAACACAAGTAGTTGTTCCTTCACCAAAAATCTTACGTCTTGGTAAGCTGATTTATTATTATTGTTTTATAAAGTGCTTTTAGGTGAGCCAAAAATTACATTAATCCATCATTGGTAATTAAATAGAATTTAACTTGATACTTAATAAATACTAATGTAAGTATTAGGTTATTGGAAATCTAATAGTAGCTGATTTGATGTCGAATCCAGCAAAAGTGTTAACAGCTGCTGAGCTGCTTTTAAGAGTGACAATTACCCGACACTGGTCAATTTTTTGAAGCTTATTAGCGGCAAAATACAATGTGATTCTTGTATGTGTTGTTTTGAATTTTCCTTTCCAATAACAAATCTGTATAATCCACTGTATTCTTGAAGTATTTATGGGAAGGTATTGTTGCTCTAAAGAAATGCAATTTATCGATATTAGGAGGAGATGGATGAGTGTCATTTGTGTACTATATGCAGATAATGTGGATATTACTTACCTTTGTGTTCTTGTTTATTTTCTGTAGATTCCTCTTGGCATTTATGATGCCACCTAGGACTACCGATCTACCTGATAATGTAGTCAATGCCATTCTGATGCGTTTGCCTTTGCGAGATGCTGTGAGGACAAGCATCTTATCAAAGAAATGGAGGTATAACTGGTGCAGACTTCCACAATTGACACTTGATGATAAACTTTAGCAATCTCACCAACACTGGGGACTTGGCAAACAAAAGCTTAGTCGAGCCTGTTACCGAATTGTTAAACGCAAAACAACAGAAGAAATACCATATCAATATAATGCTTTGTTAAGCTTTTTCACAACCTACAGCCTTTTAGTTCAAAAATTGAGCATGAAAATTTCAGGCAAATGACATCATATACTACTGCATCCTCCTGACTCAATTCCATTTCCTTTCTAGCTGACATACAATTTCAGCTTTACGCGATGCCCGCTGAAATGTCGATAACTCTGCAAGTATCTCCGCTCCTTTTTCTTTGTTTACCCAATATAGGTCTGGCTCAATTAGCATTCTCACAAGCATTGGGGATTTTGCCAATAGAAGCTTGATAAGCTGCATATCAAGCTTTGTGCCTGTTATTCCTTCAACTTTAACCGTCCTAACGTGATTCAATGTCACATCTGAGAAGCTTGTAGAAACTTCATCAACTTCATCATCCGATTCATCAATAGATACCTAAGAAAGATTAAGAAGATTGAAGATCTAATGAGTATTAAAATAAGGAAGCCGTCATTACATACAAAAGAAATAAAAGGACAGTCCGGTGCACTAAGCTCTACTATATGCGGGGTCCGAGGAAAGATTGGACCACAAGAGTCTACTGTATGCAGTCTTACCCTATATTTCTGCAAGAGACTGTTTTCACAGCTTCGAGTCGTGACCTCCTTATCACATAACAACAATTTTACTAGTTACAAAGGATAAAAGGAAATATAAACATCATTAATCACCTTCACTTCAAGATCTTGTAAATATGGGGAGCTTCGTAGCAAGCAAAGAGCACAGGAAAGATCATCTAGTCCATCCAGAGATACGTAAAGACATTTAAGATAGTTAAGAGCTGAGGAAAGCCTTCTTGGTACTTCAGCAACCAAGAACTACAAATAAAATGAAAAATCAAGATAACTCAAAGCCCAAAAAAGATGGTACATTCCATCAAAATGCATTGCAATGAAGTTCTAAAGCAACACTTACCTGGACACTCCCGTATTCCATGTGGAGATGCTCAATAGCAGGATGTGACTGAAAAAATTTGTCAAGATCACATTTTTCTGATTCCTCAAATGATTCTCCATACAAAAGAGAGAGCTTAGCAAGATGAGGAACATTGTTTAAGGAAATAAGTTTTAGACAGCCTGAGAAGTCGAAGGATCTCAACTTGGGAGCTTTAATTTGAATGTGGTTTACAGTATCTGAGATTTTCAATACTAAATTCTCAAGAAACGGGCTAGAAGAGATTAAACTTTCTAGTGACTTGGAAGAAATTAAGACATGACACAGTTCCAGGCTAATTAACATATCAAATCCTTTGAAGACTGGTGGGGGACATACTAGACAATTTTGTTGGGTTAAATACCTCAACTGTGAACACGAGAAAAATGATGAAGGCAATTTGTATCGGTTCCACTCCGAAAATTGAAGAACAAGATGTTCAATGCCGTTCCTAGAGAGGAAATATATCAAGCTGCCAATCTGAGGATACTTTTTCAGTTCAGACATGGAAAGGGTAAACTTAGTAACTTGTCCAGAATGAAGGGTCAAAATGTTGTACATAATGTTTGCAAACTTAATAGAAGGGGATGGAAAGTTATCTGTCGTCTTCCTAATCCATACATGGCCTCTAGATGATGAACCTATTGACACAAGATTAAAAATACTCGCTGAGCTATCAAAATGTTGGGAGCCTTGGCGTAACTGAGATTACGGTTCAAGTCGTGTAATAGACCCTTGTGGTCCGGCTCTTTTTCGGACCCTGCGTATAGCGGGAGCTTAGTGTACCGGCCTATCCTTCGCTAAGCAAGACAACCCAAAACATAGTGTTACTACTACATCGATATTGTTTCTCTCTATTCAATTTTAACTTCCATGACATTTCAACCAAACTTCATGATTTGATTAAATCTTTGATCTTAAAATTTTAAGTAGACTACTTCTGCTTTAGATGGTACATGCAAAATTTTTGATACCCCGGTGAATATTTTGGTCTAACACTTCATCTTCATTGATGAGCAAGCTTTTCATGGCCAAGAACTTGAGGGCTTGTTTGGTACGACAGATAAGGGATAATTAATTTCGGGATTAAATTTAAAATGGGTTTATTCTACATTTGGTTGGAATAAAATCGCGGTATAACTAATCCTAAGATTAGTTTTTTCAGAATGATAGTGTAATTATATCACTATGAGAGGGTGGGATCAGGGACGGATTTATAGGCAAATATATGGGGCATGTGAACTCATATCTCTCCGTCAAACTAGATATTTTATGTACATATTTTTTAGAATTAATCTAATGTTATATGCTGGCACCCATCTCTAAATAGGGTAAATGGTGCACTCATTTGAATGCTGAATTATTTACCTTAAGGATTACATATCAAATCCACTTAGTACTTTTTTTTATCTTTTCTTTAATTTGTTCACCCTTGTTTTTATAAACTAGCTTTATGGTACGCGCTTTGCGCGTGTATTTATATTAATTGAATATATAATTTAAAATTTAGAACAATATTTTTGAATAATGTATTTGAGTTATAAAATAAAATTATATTATAAAATATAAATTTCAGAAAATGATAGAATATTGATCCCAATTAGCTAGATTGTCTCATGTGAATTTTATTTGTGATGGGTAAAATATCGATCAATACTTCGCGAAGAGCGCCCTTTTAGAGTACGCGCTTTGCGTATCTACCCATATCTCACATTCAATTCTTATGTGTCATTTTGAAAGTATTTGTTGGATTTGATGTTGAGCTAAATAGTATCATAATTATGAATATTTTGAGTTAGTTTACATCTAATTATAGCATTAATGTGTACTTACATTTTAGTACATAAATTATTCCTACTGAGAGTTGCACCTGGACCTAAATTATTCCTAATGTAATTATTTTTTAATAAAGCTTACAGAACTAAATTATGTGTCTATGGGAACTTTTATACCTTTCTAACCACTCAAATTGATTCTAAGGATTCACATCCCCCTTGTTCACGTTGGACCGAGTGGAACTTGCAATAGGATTGGAAGTTGGAACTCTTCCTCGCATGTTAAATGCAATTTGGTGAATACTGAATACTTACTTGAAAATTTAATTGATTTATATAAGGTAACAATATTTATTATTTTGGAATCCTAAATATTAGGACTTCATACATTCAAATAAGGAATAATTTAATGAGCAAAATTTTAGTTGATTTTAATTTCTTAAATATTAGAAAATTAGTTAAATTGACTATTTTGTCCAATATAAACTCTATTATTAAGGGATAAAAAAGACGAACGACATTTCGCTAAGAACTTTCGTGCTTTTAATATAGTACTAGCTTTAAAGTACGCGCGTTGCGCGTGTTCTTCGTATAGTATCAATGAATATAAAATTTGAAAAAATTACACAAAAATTATTAAACTATGTGATGAGTTATAAAATAAATTTTTTAAAGTAAAAGCTTAATAAGAACTATTGATCATATTAGCCAACTTAATAAAGAAAAAAATTATATCATGCAAAAGTACTCTAATACCTTTACATAACTTCGACATATGAGTGCGCATTTGCTTTAATAGCTCAAATAATGTAGAATAATATACTGACTTGTCAAATATTATGTAACTATACTATGTTCTCATAGCCTTAAGAAAATAATTTCTATTTGCTCAAAGTACCTAATCAATTTTATATTATTCCTATTGAACTCAAGTTGAAGAATACGAATGATAATAAGATACTCCATATATTGTTAGATATAATTATCGTAGAAAGAATTTTATTAGATTAGAAATATTTAAATCCAACAATATTTATTTCTAGAAAGAAATAAAATGAGTTAAAATTTGCTTAAACATTATTTTTATTGTTATTGTACTCAAAATAAGTTAAATTATTTACATTGTTAGAGTATTATTTAGCTGTTAAATCATAATGTAGGATCTGGTATTGGAGCACAAACACATAATCTGACATTCATAGATAACTCTTAAATAAAAATTTATAATTTGAGATTTTAACTAATATTAAAAATATGTTTGTACACTTTTTGTTTCGGTTATATACACTAAATTTATAAAATGTGTGCTTTTGCACGTATAGATAGATACTAAATCCGCGCTTCTGATTGGGATAACAATTCCGGGATAATTATCCTTCCAATCTATTATTCTCTTAGTTTTTCATTGTTCTTAATTTTCTTGCTTTTGTTAAGGAAATTTCCTTTTCTAGTTTATAACAAAACTGTATTTTAACTAAAAAACCGTTTTTTAGCCTGTGAGTACGGTGGACTTGACCGCGTAGGATTCTTTCATTTCGCTTCTCTACACACAAAAACCGATCACAGAATTCACATTTTCTTCATAAATCCTATAACCCTTTTTTACTCCTCCAGTGAAGTGAAAATGGCGGCGTTCTTTAGGAAGCTAGCAAAGGCGGCGGCGGCTGCACCCATCGCTGCATTCAGGAGAGAAGGCCATTATTCCAAGTCTAATTTTGCTAACCCTAGCTTCCCCTTTGGAGCTATTGCTGCCGTTGCTGGTTGTGTTTCCTACTATTACTCCTCTTCTTCTCCTCATTTGGTACTTTTCCCCATCTCTCTATTTCAATATATGGTTTCATTTCCAATTTTTTTACAATGTCCATGTATGTTCTGTTTTTATGTCAGATCTTGTCCTATTTTAGCTGGCTTTTATCTTCAGCATTTTGATACTTCCCCTCAGGTGTATATGATTAGTGGTGGTAAAAATGCAGCGCGTGAGTGTAGGTTAGGCAGAAGCGGATGTAGCATAAGAGTATCGGGTTCATCCAGTACTATCAATGCGGATCATAACTTTACGTGTAAAAATTTACTAGGATTCTAACAATAGTAAATATGAACTCATAATCTTAAAAATATAATGTGTTCAATACTAAGAACCTCAAAGTTTGAAACCATAGAATTTAAATCCTGGTTCTGCCTTTGAAGTTAGGCGCGTCTCACGAATTTGAACCCATAGATATAAGTTTGGTGTTAAGTGGAGAAGAGTACCATGTTTCGAATTGTGCACCAGGTGATTGAGATTTCTAGTTATCAAAGAAATAAAAGATATATTACTATGATATGTACAAGTAGAAGAGAATAAGCTTCGCTTGTGAAATCAGAATTGCATTGTTATTGGGTGAACCACTTGACCCTTTTCATGATGGAATGGTTCAGTAAACGATGATACATATTTTAGATACTACTGTTCCTTATCAAAAATAAGCTTCTCTTGTGAAAGTGGAAAGATGTGACTCGTTAAGGATTATTTTATAAGATATGTAAATGTGTATATTGGAATGCTAATGTCATTGCACAGTACTGATCAGAATCTATTATAATTTGTTATGTTTAGGATGGAAGTAACAGGAAGTTACTATAATCGTTTGTCTCCTCTCCTTTGCTTTGAAATCGTTCCGTCCAAATATAATTGCTAATGGTGGAACAAATGAAAGAAAAAAAAGCGACTTGAAGTTGCTTGCACGCCACATAGATGTCATTACTTGGACTCTAGAGGAACAATCTGACAGGTCTCCCCTTCGGGATTTAACCATTTACTGGCCTAACGGCTTAGAATGTTAAACCTGTAAGGTGCTACATATTATTTAAGGCATATGACCATGCATCTAGAATATGCTAAGTTTTGTTAAGTTTGCGTAAGGAGATGCTTGGTGAGGATAAACTTTTCCTTATCATCCTATAATTGCTGAAGTACGTCTATGTAATATGCTTTGTACTGTATATGTTTATGTATGCATTTGTACATCTATATGTATTATAATTTATTTGCATTAGTATAGCGTAGGCAAATGGCAGCACATTACTTTCATTTTCTTTATCTAATATTTGTCTATTGCAGACCAACAGAATTTTTCTTGCTATATTTTTAAGAACTATAGCGGAAACAATGTTTGTATGAATGGTGAATTTTTGTTAAAAATAATATAATCGCTATTGAGTCCTCACCAGGTAAGAGGTAATTGGGTATGATGTTATGTTTACTAATTCTGAATTACTCAACAGTGCCCCTGAAATAAATATATACCTCATTGCAGTAAAACTGGTGAGAACTTTTTGCTTGTCTTTCCTTCACCTTAATTGGTTTGAAATGAAAATTAAATTATTAGATCCTTCTTGTTTTACAACCTAGATTATTCGTTTTCCTTTTCTTTTCAGGAGTTGATGTTGACTAGCTAACAGAAAACATATTTTCTCTCTTCATGATTTTTATTTCTGTGATTTTCAGAGTGCCTACATTAATTGATTAATTCGAGAAATTTTGTCATCTTAAGGTTAGCTGTTTTACTATATCTTAAATAGAAAGCTGAAATTTTTCCATATACAGGTGTATTTGGAGCAAATCAATGAAGATTCTGGTCAAAAAGTTGGTTAGTTCCTCTATTTACGCCTTCTGTAAGCTTATGCTTTAGTCAAGATATTCATATTTGGCTGGAACACCAACTCAATCAAAACACTATTTCCTGTTTAGCCATTAGTGCTGATTTCATTTTAGTCTCTGTGATATAAGTCTACTGTGGATGCAGTTAAGTGGGAAGTTGAAAATGCGGGCATTCATATTCATAGACTTCGATGTAATGAATTATAAGTTCTATCATTTAAATTAGTTAAGGAAGAAGGGGAACCAGAGATAAAATATAAGGAACTTTTTGGGTGTAACAGGTTAAAGGAATGACTTCAGATAACTTGTAGTATATACTTTTGTCTAAAAATTTGCACGGTTTTCTGCTGATAAGATAATTTTTTTGCTAGATCCGAGCTTTGTTGTTTCATTAATCTGTCTATATGTACCCTCTCTCTCTTACACTTCTGTTTTGGTTCATGTTTTTTGATGACCTTCCAGTTTAACTGCTTCAGTAACATCAGCTTATGGAAGATTTGTTTCTTTTGATAGTTGTTAAGATCAAGAAATTAAATTGATTTTACTGTTGTCTTCGTTTTCAGCTCTAAATCCTGATAAATGGATTGAATTTAAGCTGCAAGATCGAGCACCAGTTAGCCACAATAGTCATCTGTTCAGGTTATTTTTATCGTAATAAGATTGTGGCTTTAATGCTTTAATAGTGATGTTACTCATTCAATGATGACCTCCCTGTGATATTCCATTTTGTATAGATGATTGGGTGTTGTTCGTAGAAGACCATTTCATTTTGTAGGTTTCTTACTTTTGTATACAGGCGTTTTCTTTGCCCAAACATTAATAAAATTATTCTGTTATCAAAAAGAAAATGATGACTCTCCCTGTGATCTAAATCTGGCTTGTTTGGTCAAAAAACTGTGTAGGCAAATTGAGTTCATAAGACCACCAATTAAAATATGAAAAACCAAGCTTTCTAGCCTATCTGTATCTAAAGAAGGTGGTTGAATATGTGAACTTTAGCTTTTGGGAAGCACTATTTCCTTTTTATCCTGCATCATAACATCACCTGAATCTTGTTTTTGCATACTATTTTAGAAGATTCTAATAAAAGGCTGGGAATGCAGATTAAAGGAAAGAGTCAACTAATAAGTTTGCTTCTTCAACTATCTGTTCCTTCTCAATTTTTTTTTCCTTTACCACTCTTTCGTTAGATTTATGGGAGGGGGATTATTTAGAAAATTCTAGCTGGCTGGGTGGAAAAAAAACCTTTGCTTTTGTTGCCATCGGTTGTTTCTGCTAGTACTAAGTAGATAATTGTGGACTTCTGTGTAATTTTGCTTTCGTTGCCACACACTATGTTTACTACTAAATATATCGTGTTGGACTTTCATGTTATAACTGGGTAGACTTTACATTGTAATTATATCCAAAATTTTCTTGCTATGTGATTTATGTGATACATGGTAGATAGACTAGCCTCCCGAGCTGGGTTCGTATATTTGGTTTTATGACTGTTGAAATCCCCTTCAAGTTTTGCATTCAGATATATGAAGAGTAGTTAATGGCCGAGTTTGGTTATACTATTGATCTGCTCTTTCTTTCCTCCAATATTGTAGGTTTTCATTCGATCCTTCTTCAAAGTTAGGTCTTGATATTGCATCTTGCATTCTTACGAGGTAAGTTCCATTACATTTGAATCTCATTTGCATAGTGTCTTTGTTTCATGAGAAAGTTCAGAAGTTTTGTACTTGTGTTACAAGAATTATGGAGAATATGGTTTCTGGATCATTACTTCTGACATACTAATACATTGTTTCCTTCATTCAGGGCACCGATGGGAGAAAATGCCGAAGGAAAACCAAAATATGTCATTCGACCGTAAGTTTCATTTTTATAAATTTTCTTTCTTAGCGTTTCCTTTTCCATGTATAGCTCTACTACTTGATCCATTTGAATGCTTATTGGTTGCTCTTCAGCTGTATGAACTGAAAAATTAATCATGCTCCTTTTACATTTTTATGCTGATAACAATGCTAATTACGAAAATTATGCCTTTCACCAACACAAGTACCGGTAACTTTTTCCATTAAGGGTAAGACGAATGGAAAAAAATTACCTAGCTTTTATTTACCTCTGCTGGGATCTAAACCTTTGTCTTCCATGGTCTATTCCATTTTCATTGCCTACTAGACTACACCCTTGGGTGCTATGTCTTTCAAGTTAATTAAAACCAAAAAGAAACATCTATATGCTTTTCTTCTATTCCATCTATTCCTTTTTTTTTTCTTTTTTTTTATGACCGAGAAAGCCGTCTGGGGCCGATCCTTTGGACCAACCGCAGCCTTCGAAACTCGGTGGATAATGGGCCCTAATTTCATATCAATGTGAAACGAATTCATCTCTTCTCTTGAATGACTAAAATCTTCAGCTAATCACTTACACTCTGTGTCACAATAAGATTGTCATAAGTTAAGTGTAACTTATACCAACACTCTATTGCCTTATCTAAATGGCCAAATTTCCAACTAGTCAAATTCCCTTTAAAAGCCTCTGCCCAGACTAGGTGCCACACTTTACATTACTTCTCATTTTTTTCCTATATCTCTATGCTTTATTTTCATAGACATGTACAGTTAACACACACTAAGTTTATTGTCCCTTCAAAATTGATATTGTGAGTTTAGGCTGGTGCTTATTGTTAGATACCTCATTGGACGCTCTAAATTGAACAGCAAGTAATCTTCTTAAGTATGTTTTTGTTTTCAGTTATACTCCTATATCTGATCCAGATTCCAAGGGATACTTTGATTTGTTAATTAAGGTATATGCTTGTGGTATTCCTGCATTATATATAATCGAACTTACTGTTGACCTAACTTGCAGAACATTTTGTTTAACCTGCTTTTCTTTACATTGTTTCTCGGAACTGTAAAAAATGCAGGTTTATCCTGAAGGGAAAATGAGCCAGCATTTTGCAAGCTTAAAACCAGGCGATGTACTTGAAGTGAAAGGGTCAGTTACAAAACTTAGTAAATTCTAGCAGAGATTCTTTCTTTCGTAATCTTATTATTCTTGTAGTTTACAAGTCAACAATTGCGTTCTATATCTGCAGGCCCATTGAGAAACTGCGTTATAGTCCAAACATGAAGAAACATATAGGCATGGTAAGAGCTTGCATCTAAGTGCTCTCTGTGACACTACAATTTTAGAAAGAGTACAATATGACTAGGTTGAAACTCTAATTCATGGTCTTGATTAGGAAGTTATGTACAAATAACTCACTTTCTGGGATGAGTTTTAAAGGTAGGCAGAGTACTCAGCAGAATTAGTTTATTATGCTTATTAACAAAAATAAAAACAGCAGCAGAGAAAGTACTATCCCTACTGAAAGTTGAAATTGGTGTAAGGCATGTTCATATTCTGTCCAGCTTTGAATACATGGTGTCCTTTACGTGATATTCTTTATGCAATGATGTCACTGAAGCATGGAACTCATGGTGATTACAGGAGGAGTCAGATGTGAAACTTGTGAAGAAGAAGAACTATTTGCTAAGTCTAGTTATATGCAGCTTGTTGATATCAAAACTCAACTTTACCTGTGAATCATAGTGTATCAAGGACTTGATAGTTTAAACTGTTAAATACTCTGGGATCTCTCTGGTAGATAAAGCTTCTATTGTGAATATGAACATTAAGGTTCTTTTGATTGAAAATGTGGGTTGCTTTATCATGTTCCAGTGATGGTTTGAATCAAATCTCCTCTCCCCATTGGGCACACTTTAATTTATAATTCTCACTGTTTGTACAATTCTCAATAGATGTTTCTATCAGATGCTGATTATGGTTGAATTATATTATGCTTCTATTCATGTGTGTCTGAAATATAATAGAATTCAAACTCATTCTTCCAATGCCAGATTGCAGGGGGCAGTGGCATCACTCCAATGCTCCAGGTGATAGAGGCCATTCTTAAAAACCCTGACGATAATACTCAGGTATGTTTATTGATCCAATCTTTTAGTGCGTCGTCCACAAGTCAGTATGCAAGGGGTGTTTATCACTTTGTACTTACCAAGTAAATCGACCGAGTTTTCCATTTTAAATATTTTGATTTTCTGGTTCTAAGGCAAAAACACCGAAATCTTCACAAAAGTTTCCTATTTACTTATTCTAAAAACAGTTTGTCCAAAAATTATTGTAAGTTAATTTTGATTGGAGAGGGCGCGGCAATTAATTTCTACAAATCTAAGGCCAAAAAAAATTTGTATTATGAAGCAATTGATCAAAAAGGCCCAAACTGAAACCAAACTGATCCTATATTGGTTCAGTAATCGGTTTACCTGTCTATTGAGTGAACTTACTAAATTGAACTCAACAATTCAAATTCAACTGAACTGACGAATTCAATACCCATGTAGTAAAGATGTACTTTGCTGGCAGCATTTGCCCCTGTTGTTTTCTGAGTTGGTCTTTTATCAATAAATATACAAGAACACTCATGGGCCTTTTTTTCTTTTAGGTCTCGTTGATTTATGCTAATGTGTCACCTGATGACATACTGCTAAAGAAGAAGCTTGATGTACTTGCGGCAACTCACCCGAATCTCAAGGTACTGGCAGAGTTAATATGAAATGTTGTTCTTCTGCCCTCTCCTTTTCCTCGTTAAACCAACATGTTCTCTATATGGCAATATCCAGGTATTTTACACTGTAGATAGTCCAACCAATGATTGGAGAGGCGGCATCGGTTACGTATCGAAGGACATGATTGTGAAAGGACTACCTCCGCCCAGTGATGATACACTTATCCTTGTAAGTTTTCTGAAAGAGGTTTAATTGTCAGTGCCTCAAAGGCCAACAATTCAATCTTTTGTATGACGTGAAAGTGGATTTTCATGCTTGGACGTTTGTCTCTGCTTTCTGGTCAAGGACTATATAGTAATTGAGAACACAATACCTGAGAATTAGCAAGAAGGAAGATAGCGTCCTAATTGTATGTTCCCTTTCTATTGGCTTCAGTCTGACTGGTAGCTGGTGCAAACCAATAGTTGCGCTATGAAAAGGTGCAAGTTCATGAACTAATAGTGCTATGCGTAAGTATGTGAAAGATGGTGCAGATGGGACATGTAATCAATATAGTAAAATGTGCAACTTTACTTAAAGCAGAAGGGGTGAAACTCTTTACCTGGGGTTTCCATTTGTTAAAGATTTGCAAAATGGAATGTACACTTTGGAGATGTTATAGGTTTGCATGGAAAAGTGGGGATTTCACTTATATGGAAGAAGTTTCCTATAGAGAACTTGTTCTTTCACTTTTCCTTTTCCCTTCAACTTATGTTTACTATGCGTTAGAGGGGCCTTCACGCAGAGGTGCTACAAAGGCAGCTCTCCCGTATGCGGTAACTTTTAAGGATGTAGCTGTTAGTTGGTTTCATGTAGAATATTTTGCTCTTCATGATAATTGAGGGGTGGGGGTGCGGACTGCTATAGAAAAGTTGTTACTCGGTGTAGAGTTGACTGGATTAGGGTAAGTGATCTGTGCCATACTCGGTGCAAGAACAATCACTGATATTCTGAATTTGTTCTGCAGTGACATTAGATTTATGTGGAATCATCCGAAACTTTCTGTTTGTGTCCAGGTATGTGGCCCTCCTGGGATGATGAAACATTTATCTGGCGAAAAGCCAAAACCTCGTGAGCAAGGCGAGGTACTTGTTCCATCTACCAAAAGAATTTAATTACCTGTTTCTTAGTATTGCTTTGCCTCTAATGATGTTTATGTTTGCTTTGTAACAGCTAACTGGACTACTCAAGGATGTTGGCTTTACAGAAAACATGGTTTACAAATTTTAATTAGTTTGTTAACTTTACATCCCCTTATCTTTTTATTGAATAAAAGAATTTTGAAGAAACACAATATCCTACATTAACATAATCCGAGGGTTTGGACGAGCATTCAGGATGTTTTTTCCCAGAACATCTAGAAAATACTTATTTTAGGGGGAAAATAAAAAAAGCTTGATATCTGTCCACTCTTGGTTACCCACTGTAACTGAATTTGTGGAGGTAAATTTCTCTTTTATTTCTTTATATTATACGTCTTTTTATAATTTCACATATGGGATTGTGTACATAGTAATTGTTGAGCATATGTTTGGTTCGACGATTCATTTTATCCCTCCCCTAAACCTAGCTTTGTTTTAACCAAAGAGTAGTCAAATTCTAATATATCATCACCCATGAACCACATGTAGGCTCAGGGTCGGGTGAATCTAGAATGTAATATGTGGATTTACGTGAAGCTAGTAAATTTTGACGTAGATCTTATATTATTAAAGAATTTATTAAATATCCATAAATATTAACTCGAGATTACTATAGTAACTCTAAATTTAAATTCTGTATTTGTTTACTTGCACCTTTTTATTCACGGTTTCAAGAGTCGGTCAATTTGAGGTGGGCATCATTATCTTTCTCCACAAGAACAAAAAAGAGGTAAGAAAACTACAAGAAAGTGAAACCCGGGTGCCAAGCAAATAAAGCAAATTAATGGACTATGCGGTCAAACTTTTTGTTCCCACCATTTCCAGCTATAAATTAATTCAACTTCTTCACATATTCAAGAATCACTTGCACTTGCCATATTCAAACCCTTCTACTAGTTTCATTTTGTGAATTAACTGAATCAACAGCAAGCTGCATCTTCAAGAATTCCAGTTTTGGGTTGTGTTATGGGTGCCTTTTCCAACTCAGCGACATATAAAAGGGGGTTGAGATTATCAACTATTAAAAAAAAAAAAAAAGCAGCCCGACGCAATAAGCTCTCACAGTGCGCGGGATCCGGGGAAGGGTCGGACCACAAGGGTCTATTATACGCAACCTTATCCTGCATTTCTGCAAGAGACTGTTTCCACGTTTCGAACCCGCAACCTCTTGGTCATATGGCAACAACTTTTTGTGCCAAGGCTCCCCTTCATTTCGTGTAAAGCATTATCAACCATTTAATGTAAAGCATATGCATATTAGTTGACGTGCACGCAAGCTGGTTCGGACACTATAGTTATTAAAAAAAAATTAAGTGTAAAATCATAAAGTATAATTGTATAAACAATTTCTCTGTACTTTTTCTGTATTCTTCCACAGACCCCACTTATGAGATTAAACTGTAATTTTTTGTTGTTCTCGTGGATTGTGAATTAACTACTGAGGAAAGTCATAACTGCTGCAAGACTTATGTCTATCATATGGTTTTGAAGAAGAATTTTGTTAAACGTGCTTATGAATTGATCATTGTACTTCTCACTATCCTTTCTTGACTTCTTTTCTAGTTATTTAAATTTATTATGATTACATTGATGACTAGTGAAACAAATATATAATATCCTCAAGAACCTTGATTTTTCCTTCCTCTTAATACGGCAAGGCAAAACAAAATATTCTTACTATATCGACATTCGTTTCTATCTATCCAATTTTAACATCCAAAATATTTCAGCCAAAGTTTATGTTCTGATTGAATCTACGTGATCTTAAACGCAACAAAATTGGATCAAGTTTGCACCTAGTGTAAATCTGAAATTCTCAAAGAAGCATTTACTCTCTCTGTTTAAAAAAGATTACTATTTGAAGAGTCAAAAAACAAGATTTTATTTGATTTTGCAAATTGTTATAAATAGTTTAAATTGTTTACTAGTGGACAAACTATAAAGATCGTACCAATACCAAATATCAATAGCCCACTTCGAACTTATTTGGGACTAAGACATAGGCCAGGCCGACTTTAACTTGTTTGGGACTAAGGCATAGTTATAGTATGATATCTCCGTGGCTCTAACCTATAAGCATAGCCGAAAAGAAGTGCTTCAAGCTTGCCATATACAAGGAATTACAGGTAGAGAATTGACACACTGAGCCACAACAACAACAACAACAACAACAACAACAATAACAAAAAGTTCAATGAAATTCTATACGTGGGGTTCGGGAGGATAATGTGTACGCAGATCTTATCCCTACCTTGTGAAGCAAGAAATGTTATTTCCGATAGACTATCGGCTCAAGAAAAGTGAAAAGGACACAATGAACAAATAATTACAATGGCAAGGAAATAAGACAACGGAAACAAATGGCACAACGTGTAATAACAAAAATCTAGGAATACGAAGCTAGAAGATAAGTGTGAAAACTACCGGTAATAATGACACATCGTGTAACAACAAGGAACTAGCAATAGGAGAATACAAGAATAGTACTAATACTACTAGTACGACTAGAAGAGACACTCGACCACCTGTTAACCCACAAACCTAATTCTCAACCTCGACACCTTCCTATAGAGCCACAACATAATATTGAAATAAAACCACCACAGTATCAATTCAAGTGTATGTCACATTCCATAAATCATTCATGAGCAGGCACTAAATGTAAGAATCCGTAAACATGTACCAACAATGTAATTACAGAACAAACTAATCAAAACATCCATCTAGAAATGCTCATGTTCCCAAACAAATATACACTCGTCTCTTTATCTTATATTACGGCACAACAAAACACAATGTTATACTGCAACATCGGCGTTTGTTTCTCTTTATTCAGTTTTAACTTCCAAAACATTTCAGCCAAATATCATGATCTCATTTTAAGACTACAATCTATGTAAACTACTTCTGCTTTAGGTGATGCACGCCAAAATTTTGATAGCTCAGCCAGTGTATCTAATCTTGTGTCAAGAGTTTTGTGATCTAGAAACCATGTATCAATTAGCATTCTCAGCGACAGTGGGGACTTGGCAAATAAAAGCTTGATAAGTTGCATCTCAGGCGTTGTTCCCCTAAAGCATTTTATCTTAACTTCCCTGAGATGATTAAATGTCACATCTGAGAAACGTTCCATTTCGAGACATTCTAGAGCAGTAATATCATATTCATTGCCAACCTAAGAAAGAAAACAAGAAGTCAACTCTCAGATTAATGAGGATCTAATTAGTATGAAAAAAGCCATTAAATAAAAAAGAAAGAAAGAAAGAAAAGAGTGAAAGCACTAAGAACCTCAATTTCGAGATATTCTAAATGTAGGAAGCTTCTTATCAAGCAGAGAGCACGAGCGAACTTATATGATCCCTCCAGAATAATCTGAGGCAGGTAAAATCGTTTGACAGAGTTAACATCAAAGGGAAGCCTTGTTGCTACTTCGTCTTGTTTGTCAAGAGCCATCTAGGGCAAAAGAAATACCAAAATTCAAGATGAGTCAACCCAAAGAAGTTCCATCTGTGAAAGTGCATAACAATGAAGTCATGAAGCAACATCTACCTCGTTATAACTGTAGTTGAAGATGAGGTGCTCGAGAGCAGAGCAAGACTCGAAAAACTTTACAAAACCAAAATTCTCTGCCTCCATAGAAGACTCGTCACCTATCAGAGATACTTTTTCCAGAAGAGGGACATTCTTTAGACAGATAGAACTTACACAGCCCGTGAATTCAAAGGATCTCAGCTTCGAGGCATTAATTTCTATTCTGTTTACAACTTCTGGGATTTCCAGCACGAATTGCTCAAGCAACCGGCAATGAGATATTAAACTTTCGAGCAATTCAGAAGAAATTGTGACTCTACATAGTTCCAGGTTAATTAACTTATCAAATCCTTTAAAGGCGGATAGAGGATAATATGGCAAAATAACCGCACTTAATCTCTGCAAAAATTCTCCTAAAATTTTTTCACAAATCCCAATTGATTTTCTATCCCTTTCAAGTTCTAGTTGGAGGTAAAACCTAGAGTTTGAAGAACCAAGATAGGAGCTGAGTTATCCAACAAATAGGTAAGTTTACTGCTCTCTTCCATCCATTTTTTCCTGCTGTAGATGCATAGTAAGTTGTTCTATATTTGTAAGAACTCACGGGACGGCGATCGGAAGCCGTGAGTTCAAGTTATTCACTTGTAGCAGACTGTTTTGTGGACTGTTTGGTGCTGCTGTTGGGCTGCGTGATTTACTATTGTTTTGTGGAGTTTTGGAGGAGGAAGGGTGTGGAGAAATACAACATAAATGCAGGATGTTGGGCTGGTCGTCGTCGTAATATTTTCGGGTTGTTGACACTACTACGACGATCGTTTTGTGTATGAAGAGATTGGGGTGTGTTGGGCTGTTTTGTAGTATTTTATGGTTTACATAAGGTTGAAAAATAATGTATATATGTTTTTATTGTTGTTTTTGGTGTTGTTGCTGTTATCTTGAATTTGGAGGAAGTAAGGATTATAGGGGAGATGATGTCCGTTTTAATACAAAATAAGCATGTCGTTCGTTGTGCGATAGTTGTACCTTCACAACTTAATGATACTATTATTATCGTTGTTGTAGATTAAGGTGAGAAGATGCGAGTTCAACTTGGTGATTAGAAAGATTATGATAAGGTATGTTAAGGCTAAGCCCTTCTTTCATTTTGGCATGATCCCGTAGCTACATGTGTTGATAATGAGACATAAAGAGAAGTTCGTATTCATGAATTTATTCACATTATTCTAGTCTCATAAGTTACAGTATTATTCCTTATCAAGACTCTATATTCAATTTAGTATTGTCTTATTCCAGTCAAGAGAACAGAGGGTCTATATATATATACAGTATTACAATATTTTTACCACCATCGAGCTATAATCGGTGGGCAGGCCTCTATTGGGCAACCTCTGATCAGATGGTAAGTTATATATACCGAGCCTACTGTGGTCGAGCGCCTATGAGAGAGCCCAGGATGGCCGAGATACAGAGCCTAGTATGGCCGAGCGCCTATGAGTGAGCCTGCTACAGCCGAGCAGTTACATGTACTAAGCCCTATAGGGTCGGACATTTATTTTACTTACTATATTGAAGAAGTTGAGTCAGTATAAGCAGGTAAGTATATCTCCAGATCATCTTTGACTCCTAGTTACTTTCAGTTATTATATTATCAGTTCAGTTTCAACTTTCAGTTATGTTATTGCCTTATATACTCGGTACATTATTTTGTACTGACGTCCCTTTTCAGGGGACGCTGCATTTCATGCGTGCAGGTTCAGATAGACAGACAGGTAGACCTCCTCAGTAGGTGTTTCCAGAGTTCAGCCTGATCGGTAAGCTCCACGCCCTTCGGAGTTATCGGGTCTAGGTTTTCGTGTACATCTTCTGTATGTATGTATATATGTTATGGGTAGGTCAAGGCCTTGTTCCGATTACAATACATCCATCAGTAGGTGCTTTTAGACATATCCTGTCAGTTAGTGCAGTATGTTGGGCTTGTAGACCTGGTATGTATATTTTGGTGGTTTGTCAGCTATAGTAGTTATGACGGCTTTGTCGACCCAGCTTTATATTGATGTATAGTCAGCGCTAGTTTCCATTTAGTTTTATATTTTGCTTCGCAAATTGTCTTGCAAGGTGGCCCCATGGCCAAATTATGACATTATATGTTCAGTGTCCCTTAGTCGCAATTTGGTACGCTAGGTTAGGTGAGGCACCGGGTGCCGATCTCGCTCCTAGGTTCAAGGCGTGACAAACTTGGTATCAGAGCAGTTCTGTCCTTGAGAGTCTACAAGCTGTGTCTAGTAGAGTCTTGTTTATAAATGTATTGTGCACCACATTATATAAGCAGGGAACTACACGGAATTTAGGAGTTGGTAACCCTTCTTTTAAATCTAAATCGTGCTGTAGAACTGAGTTATAGGAAATTTGAGTTAAACTTATGTGTTGGTGTTTGCATACACAGATGACGGTGACTAGGAAGACTACGACTATCCAGAGGGGAGATACAGTGTCATGACCCAAAATTCTAACCCGTCGTGATGTCGCCTATCTCAATACTAGGCAAGCCGAAATCTCAATGAACCACAACTTCTATTTAAGGTTGAAAATATAATATTTAAATACAATACAAACACTCCCCAAAACCTAGTGTCACTGAGTACATGAGCATCTAATTATGAATACAAGTCTGAAAAATACGGTCTGTAACAGTCTGAGACCAAGTATAGTAAATAAGGAGATAGGAAAGGAGAGGCAAGGTCTGCGAAACACGGTAGCTACCTCAGAATCTCCGGAAAATCAACTGCGTGAAAGAATCAACACTCGCTATGTCCGGGAATACCTGAATCTGCACACGAAGTGCAAGGTGTAGTATGAGTACAACCAACTCAGCAAGGAACAATAATAAATAAGGAGTTGAAGATAGTAACGAGCTACACAGTTATGGCTCATTTCCAGTAATTCCAGCAAAGAATAGACATGCTATCAAATCTGGCAGTTTAATGTCAAATCAATTTTTTTAATACAGTTCTTGTTCATGTAATCCGTATATCAAAATCTTTCAGAGATTTCACAACAATGACATATAGCAACTAAGTGCAACAACAAATGAAAATCAAGTACAACCTCTTAAGACAACAATCATTCATTGGGCTCCCAGCCCTCATCACTCACTCTCAATTGGTACCTGCACTCACTGAGGGTGTACAGACTACGGAGGGGATCCTACAGCCCAAGCTCTATAATCTGCACGGACAACTCACGTGCCATATTACAAATATCTGGATCCGCACGGCCAACTCACGAGCTGCACGGCCAACTCATGTGCTCTAGNATAGCCTAAGCATGATTTCTAACATGATTTACAGTCAAATTTTATCAACACATAGAGAGCATATAGCTAACAACAAATTATTAAACTTTACAGTTTCTCGGGACGGACCAAGTCACAATCCCTTCGGTGCACGCCCACACGCCCGTCACCTAGCATATGCGTCACCTCCAAAATAATCATATGATACCAAAATCCGGGGTTTCATACCCTTAGGACTAGATTTAAAACTGTTACTTACATCAAAACTTGAAACTCTTTACTCTGTTATGCCTTTACCTCACAAATCGACCTCCGAATACCTCGAATCTAGTCATAAATAATTCGTTTCAGTCAATAAAATTCATTGGAATTAATTCCATAAGAAAATAATATTTTTCCATAAAAATCTGAAAATTATCTCAAAAATCGCTCGTGGGGGCCACGTCTCAGAACTCTACAAAAGTTACAAAATCCGAAAGCCCATTCAACCACGAGTTTAACCACACCAATTTTATCAAAATCTGACCCCAACTCGACCCTCAAATCTTCAATTTAAACCAAGAGGGTTTTCAAACTTTCCGAACTCAATTCACCAATTAAATGCTAAAAACAACCATGGATTCGAGTAATTTAACCAATATTGAGTTAAGAACACTTACCCCGTTGTTTCCTCTGAAAATCACCCAAAAATCGCCTCAATCCGAGCTCCAAATCGTCAAAAACTGAAAATGGGACGAAGTCCCATTTTCAGAACTTAAACTCACTGCCCATGCTTTTCTTCTTTGCGAACGTGGTCAGTGCCTCGTGTTCACGAAGTACAAAATAGTTCCCATCCGAATTCCTCATTCGCGAATGCGACATCACCTTCGCGTTCGCGAAGCACAAAATGCCCCTGCCTCAATGCCTTCTACGCGAACGCGATGCTTCGTTCCCCCTCACTACGCGAACGCGACACCCCCTACGCGAATGCGTAGACCAATTTCCTGGGGTCCTTAGCTGCTTCCTCTTTTCTTCGCGAACGCGTAACACCTCTCGCGTTCGTGATGCACACCCAGTCCACCCTTCGCGAATGCGTTCTTCTCTTCGCGAACGCGAAGAGCAAATATTGCCAGCCTCTCAGTTCCTCTTCGTGAACGCGAGGCTTCACTCGCGAACGCGATGAAGGAAACCAGATGGTGCATCAGAAAAATTCCAGCACAGTTCCAAGTCCAAAATCCAACCCGTTAACCATCTGAAACTCACCCGATCCCCTCGGGGCCTCAACCAAATATACCAATAAGTCCTAAAACATCGTACGAACTTAGTCGAACCCTCAAACTATCTAAACAACGCTAAAACCATAAATTACACCCCAATTCAAGCATAATGAACGTTGAAATTTCTAATTTCTACAAACGACTCCGGAACCTATCAAATCATGTCCGATTGACCTCAAATTTTGCACACAAGTCATAAATGACATAACAGAGGTATTCTAATTTTTCGAATCAGATTCCGACCTCGATATCAAAAAGTCAATCCCCCGGTCAAGCTTATCAAAAATTAAACTTTCGGCATTTCAACCCTAATTCCAATACGGACCTCCAAATAATATTCGGACACGCTCCTAAGTCCAAAATCACCATACAGAGCTATTGGAATCATAAAATTTCAAATCCGAGGTCGTTTACACAGAGGTCCATATTCAGTCCACTTTTCTAACTTAAATTTTTAATTATGAGACTAAGTGTCTTATTTCACCCTGAATTCCTTCTGGAACCGAACCAACTAACCCGATAAGTCATAAATAAATTGTAAGGCATAAATTGAGCAGTAAATTAGAGTAACAGGGTTATAATACTCAAAACGACCGGCCGGGTCGTTACATACAACAACAGGTGAGGGGACCAACAGGGTACCCCCAGTAGATGGGTCCCAGTCTGAGGCCCAAGGCGAGACCCCTACTCAGCCATTACCGGCTCCTCCACCACCTAAGGAGATTCCTAGCGATACCGCACATCTAGTTCCCCCTCCACTTCTATCTTATCAGGACTTGAGGAGTGCAGTGCATTTGTTGACACAATTGGTAGCTACCCAGCAACAAGCTAGGGCATCAGCTAGTGCAGGATCTTCTGAGGGGTCTGGGAGTTCAAGGGTCCGAGATTTTATTGCTTTGAGTCCCCCAGAGTTCACAGAGACAGATCAGAGGGAGGACCCACAGGATTTCATAGATCAACTTCACAGGATCTTCCGGGTTATACATGCCAAAGAGAAGGAGGCAGTTGAGCTAGCAGCTTTTTGACTCCGAGATATAGCCATCATTTGGTACGAGGGATGGGAGAGGTCCAGGG